TGTCAAATGCCTTGGAGAAGTCGGTATAAATCTGACATCTGACTGTTATTCTCCAAGGCGTTTAATACTTTTTGTTCAAAGAGTACTTAATGTGTTACAGTTGATTTATTCTAATAAAATTAATGTTGATTGTGTATTAGTTGTTGATTGATGACTGAAGCCAGAGGCATTTCATTTTTCTAAGAGGATGTTATAATCTACTTTGTCAAATGCCTTGGAGAAGTCGTTATAAATCTGACATCTGACTGTTATTCTCCAAGGCGTTTAATACTTTTTGTTCAAAGAGTACTTAATGTGTTACAGTTGATTTATTCTAATAAAATTCATGTTGATTGTGTATTAGGTACTCTTTACAAAAAAAATTTAATTGATCGTGCATTAGTCTATCGACAAATTTGGGAATAGAGGATTGTTTACACACGCTTCGATAATTTGTTGTCTTGTTTAAACCTGATTTAAAAATTGGGCAGATATATAAGACTGCTTCCATAAAGTTGGGAAAACTGATGACTCAAAAAGAAGATGTAAAGGATTGGTTAGTGAATAAATACAATTCTTTAGAAAATAATCGGGAATACCATCTGGACTACTGCTTAAGTTCTTAGGTAAGGATAAAATGTTAAAAATATCTTTGACTGATATTAAAAAATTAGGTATAAAAAGATTGCCGTTTTCCGATAGTTCCTAGTTATTAATATTTGATTGCGGCGAATAAACTCTTGAAAAAAATTGATTGAAACAGTTTGCAATATGTTGTCCAGTTGCTGCTATAACATTAACATAATACATAGTATCTGGTATATCATTTGATGCTATCTTCATCATGATCAATTAGCCCATATTTGTCCACTGCTGAACGTAGGCCTCCCGTAAAATTTTCCACTTATTTCTGTCTTGAGCTTCTTGTATCTAGTTTGTGGTGATGCGCTTGATATCATCCGTCCATCTAGTCGGTGGTAGTCCTCTGCTTCGATATGCAACATGTCCGGCCCAAGCCCATTTAGCCCTGGCTATTTTTTCAACTGCATCTGTGACTTCTGTTTTTCTTATTTCTAGGTTTGGTACTTTATCTCTGATGGTAATACCTAATATTGATCTTTCCATAGCGCGTTGTGTAACTCTTATTTTATCTATTGTTCTTTTTGTCAGAGTCAGTGTTTCTGCACCATTATGTAAGAACCGGTAAAACGCACTGGTTAAAAACCTTTCTTTTTAAACAAACTGGGATACTCGACTTGAAAATGTTATTCAATCTACCAAAGGCAGCCCATGTGAAACCTATCCTTCTTTGTATTTCAGTTGTCTGATTATCTCGGCCTAGGCGAATCTCATGCCCTAGATATTTGTAAGCTATTACTTGGTTGATGCTATGGCTCTCAATCAAAATTTTACCGCTGACTACAAGGTTGGTCATAAATTTTGTTTTTGAGGCGTTAATTTTAAGACCAATTGATTTTGACACTTTATAGAGCGTGTGCAGCATTTTTGTAGCTTTATCAACTCTATCAGATATTAAAACGATGTCATCGGCAAATCTTAGGTGGTTCAGATCTTCACCATTTATATTAATTCCCATATTATCCTCTCGTTCCATCTGCTTGAACATATATTCAAGAACAGCTGTAAACAATTTAGGGGAGATAGTATCACTCTGTCTAATTCCACGTTTTATTCGAAACTTCTTGGTATCTTCATGAAGGCGGACACAAGCTGTACCAGTTTCGTAAATAATTTTAATCAAGGCAATATATCGGTAGTCAATGCGACAGTCAGCCAATGCTCGAAGCATTTTATGATGATCTATAGTATCGAACGCCTTTTCATAATCTACGAATATAAGAAAGATAGGCTTGTTATACTCTGTACACTTTTCTATTAGCGTTTTTACAACTTGCAAATGATCATTTGTTCCTTATCTGGAGCGGAACCCAGCCTGTTCACAAGGTTGGTAACTATCCAGTTTGTTCACAAGCTGTTTTGTTATTATCATCATGAATAGTTTGTATGTATGGGAGAGCAAACTAATAGGTCTGTAGTTCTTTACAACTTGCAGATGATCATTTGTTCCGTATCTGGAGCGGAACCCAGCCTGTTCACAAGGTTGGTAACTATCCAGTTTGAATGTGTTTGAATGTGGTAAAGTTTTCTCAAATCAGTCTAAGCTTTCTACGCCGATGCAATGTGGAGAAAATGTGCATTTAAATAAGTGTCTGGAAGATTTCCAGTAGCTTTTTTTTCAAGCCGAAAGGACTTCCACATTAATGAAGTTTATTTTACAGAAATTATGAAAGTTGTTGGAAAAATACAAACACTCTGTTTTATGTCCGCCATTACTTCAGTTTTTTATGGAAGAGTATTGAAGAATTAAACTATTTTAAACACGTTGTAGAACGAGACAAGTTTTGAAAACATCCACCTGAAGACAACGATTTTGCCAATTCATACAAGATTAACCCATTAACCGTAATATGTCATTTAAATTTAGTTCATTAATACTTTGTTTACTTTCAACAACAATAAATAAATTTAAGTTTATAATAATACTTATATAATAATTTATTATAATCCTTATCTTCACTCATAAACATGTATTACGTTAAATATTTTAAACTATCTGGTGCAAAGTTAACAATTTCCGTAAGCTACTACAAGAAAATAAACAATCTTGGAAGGTTAATATAAAAGTCGTCAATATACATTAGGTTAATGTGATTTTCTTTCTTATTACTCAGAGTACAAGTTATTTATTCTCTATATTTTAGTTATGAATGTAACAACTATGTACCTGTAGAAAGAAATATTGTAAATTTTTTTATTTTTATTCCTAATCGTTTTTATAAACTTTCTCAGATTTTTTTAGGTTGGAGATTGTCCCTCGTTGTCACTTTTGATGACATTTCAAAGATTGCACATGCGCAGTTGACGGATCGGGTCCCTGTAATTAATCGCTCCTGTCTGTATGTATGGGAGAGCAAACTAATAGGTCTGTGTCTGTAGTTCTTTAGGTCTGAAATGTCACATTTTTTGTGCATTACGGTTATTATTGCATTATGCCACTGGGAGGGGGTTATGCCTCTTGTTAAACAAGCATTGAACATTTTTTTCAACACATTTAGTAACGTTCCTCCTCCTTCTTTGATTTGTTCAATGACTATCCCATCTTCTCTAGGTGATTTATTGCTGTCTTACTATTTACAAACTGCTAAAAGTACTTAGGATTACTGCATAAATTATAGTTTACTTGATTCAGATAAGTGTTATAACATTGATTTGATAAATCTTTACACAACTCTGAAAGTTCTGAGATCACATATTCCCCTTAATTACAGGAAGACAAATAATTTTTATGAGTAATTTTTCGTACAACTAAATAACGTAAGTTGGCATTAAACTATTTTGGATAACTATTTTACCTATTTACTTACTATTTTAACTAATTTTAAATAGGGAATATACCATACCATTTGTAGCACATTTTTAGACAAGTATTCCCCTGGAAAATTTGAGCATCCATTTTTTCTTTTCCAATTTAAATCTGTTTTGTGAACAATTATCAGTTTATTGAAAGTGTTACACCTCTTAAATACTAAACGTAACGCCTATGATTTGCTAGTGTTAATCTCAAATTTTTACTGTCGCGTCAAAAACGACGTTAGGGAAATTTGCAACATTAATAGGACACTTTTTTAAATGTAACGTAAATAAAATTACTATTTATAACTGGGAATAAACCACAATTAAAGATAAAAATACGTTTATTGACGTTTCAATTTCCAATTCGGAAATCGTTCTCAAAATACAAACAGTAAATTAAAAAAATTTTGTTTTTTGTTACATAGTGAAAAAATTCTTCTAATAATTTAATTTTATCTGACTCATTTATATTGACAATTCAGACATACATTATGCATTTTAAAGTAGACGACTTTAAAATGATATTGCCAATATTGTTGAGTTGCGCTCCTGGGACGACTTTACTTATAAGATAGTTCATTCGATTACATGAAATCAACTTTAACTTGAGAATATCCGTCAGAAAAAATCACAGCATGTAATTCGTCTTTAAAAAGACAAACACATGACATGATGACAGTAAAATTCTCCTGTTAGTGATTCCATAGTAAATTATGAGAGAAAAACCAGGAAAAAAACCTTATAATACTATCCCGACATTGTAAGTATTTGTTCGTGAATTTAGTTTACCTTCAACAAACATCAAAAATTCTGATTTTATATGTTACGTTATTTAAAAAACATAAATGATGTATCCTTTATATGTTACTGACTTACTAATACTGGTATTTTTAAAATAAAATATATTAATAAAATGAACTAAATTTTAAATTATTATAATCATAATACAAAATAGTTTCTAACAATAAAACAATGAAAACTTCAGTTTGAACTTCCACAAGTGTTCCTGGTGAGGGGTTGAATACCTCGAAACATGTGTAGAACAATAGTGGAATAAGAATTGGAATGAAATGCAATATTTTGCTTCTATTTTCACATATTTTCTTTACGTAGTGAAAAAGATAGTGTTTTTTAAGGGTGAACCGTAGATGCATGTCGGAGTAAAAGGTTACTTCTAGCGTCGTTCAAGAGAGTCTAGTAAAAGGCTTTGAATGTGCTATCACAGAGAGGTCTCCCGACTTCTTGTTACTTCGTATAGATAGCGCTGCTAGTATACCATGTTGATATTTTAATTATAATGGCCAAATACTACACTGCATTTCATTTCAGTTTGAACTTCCACAAGTGTTGCTGATAAATAGTTGAATAACTAGAAACACATGTAGAACAATGGTGGAATTCGAATTGAAATGAAATGCCATCTTTTACTAAAAAGGCTAGTTCTAGCGTTGTTCAACAGCCTCTAGTAAAAGCCTTTGAATGTGCTATCACAGAGAGGCCTCCCGACTTGCTGTTACTATATACATATATAGATTACAAATTTATAATTGAAATATTTTTGTATTATAATATAAAATAAAACTTACTTTTTTATCCACATTACAAGTCTTTTTATGGCTGCTGAGTTCCTGTACACTAGAAAAAACAGTCTTACATACTACGCATTTATGATAATGATCTAGGCAGTGCAGATCTAATTGATCTCTTTGATCAAAAATTTTGCCACAAACGTTACAATAATATCCTTCTTCATTTTCAAGACTCATCATTGGATCACTACTTCCAGAGGTCAGATCAAACATATCTTTTTGGTTCAATGGATTTTCTTGACCAATCTCTTCCAGTCCTTTCTCTAAATGTGAGGAACTGAGGCTGTTGCTATTGCTGGAACTATCATCTTGTTTGAATGTTTCCAAATCTAACTTGGATGATATTTGGTTTAGCGACAGCTTATGACTTTCAAATTGCAACCTGCAGATATTTTGTTCTTCTAATTTTACTTGAAAATCAAATCGATGAGTTGAATGGTTCGATGAGTCTTTTAACTAGAATAAAATATACAATTTAAAAAAATGAAGAAACAAATAAGGGAAAAGGAAGAAATAAAGTAGGAAGTATCACTACTAAACAGATTTCCACTGATCACCACATAAAATTTGTATATAATTGCCTGATAGATATATTGTCAGTCTGTTTTGTTAAATAATTAGTGTCAAAGACGTATAGCACCTAGGGACAATGCTGCCAATGTTTTTGTCATCTGCGAATGACTGAATAGGTAGGCATTATATTGTGAGTTAGCTAAATGTTTACTAGAACTGTTCAATCATATGTTTTAACTGCAATGGTCTCAGTTTAATAATGTATGTCTGCCATTTATTTTTCGCTGAAAATACTTAATTCCAATAAATAGGTGCCGTGAAGTGAATTCTGAATAAACAATAATTATTCATAAATAATAAAGTTGGCCAGAAATACATACAAGTAAAAATTTTGCTCACTAAGTGGGAGACAGATATATTGTTGTAACCACCTAAGCAATAAGAATAGAGATATAATCCATCCATTTATATGTTGGATGACTTCATTATATTTTAAATAAACCATCTTGGACGTTTTTACTTCTATGCATATTTTATTTTTTGATGTCACTAATAAATAATATTACACTATTTTCCAAGAAACTTTTAACTTGAATCTCCCAGAAGTTTGTCACATCCTACTTTAAAGTCAATATGGATAGGATATTTATAAATATAACAGTATGCCTGAGTCACCACCTGATCATTGGTGTTATTATGTAAATATTATAGTTAGAACATTAAAAATATGTTTTAAATTTAAAAATCTTCAAAATATTTCTTTGTTAATTAATATGGCCATATATTAAAAGGTGTTAAAGCAACTTGTATAGTCCAAGAGCCATCTATATTAATTGGTTGTGCATTACAGTATACATTAATCGAAATTTTAGAACAAGAGTCAGGAAATTGTTTACGTCACATGTAGTTGTTACTTGTCACTCACAAACAAAGTAAAGATAACTCCATTTTCATATGGCCCGTGATAGTACATATTTAGATTATTTAACCAAATATGTTTCAAATGCACTGTGCAACACAAAAACTAGAAAATCATTATGAGCAATTTCTTTTGCATGTTTTTAATGAACTATTTGCTATAATTGGCCATATAAAGTATGAATTCAAATCAGAGTTACTAGAAATTATTTCACTCAGTATTGTGTAATTAACAAGTAATATTTTTTGACATTTCTAGAGCCAAATTTGGAGTGAACCTCTTGTGGCAAGTTCGGCAACTATTTAATTGCCATGTATTTCCTGATAATGTGGAATCATACCAGTGCAACACTTTTATGTGCTGCCAGTCTATCAAATTCTTCTCAACATTCCCACAATGACCTAGAGACTACCTTAGGGCTCCCCAGAGAGCCCCAATAGATACAGTTTCTTTGATTTTTTTCCTTACTATTAAAAAGGTTATTTTTAAATTTAAATTTTATTAAAAAGTTACTAAAGTAAGAATTTAAATTTATTTGATTTTCTACCTAGTAGTGTTTTTTGAAGATCACTTTTAAAATCTCACAGATGATCTTGTTAAAGTTCACAAGTCTTGAGGTGACCTTGTTTGTTGCCAAATTCTTCTCAGCTTTTGTTTTTTAATTATCATATTTCTTACTTCCTTTGGATAATTGTTTCCTTTTAACCTAGGTTTCAGTGTAGGAGTGTTTCCCCATGCTGCTTGCTGGATATTGTACACCAACAATTCTGCCTCTTTATCTAATTGCTCTGTGGTTTGTAGTGGTACACTTAGATTTATTTTGTCTTCAAGGCTAAGTTTAAAACTTGCCCAATCCGTCAATTTGTTTGTTAGTGTAAGATTACTTTGTTTTTTAATAATCTTGCCACTCATTGTTAGTACTATGGGCGAATGCTCAGAATTTATGTCCCAGCAATCATCAATGTCAAGGAAATTAGCTGAAATATTCTTAACAATAAACAAGTCTATTAGATCAGGGATCTTGTTTCTATGTGTAGGCCAGCAGGTTGGTCTACCAGTTGAAAGTGCTTCACACTTATGTTCTTTGATAGCCAACAAAAGTTCCTTTCCCTTAGGGGTGATTATTCTAGAGCCCCAGTGTGTGTTCTTTGCATTAAAGTCACCTCCAATAATAAACCTTTCCCCTAAGCTTTTCAGGAATTCAGTACACTGCTCTTTTTTAATGGATTGTTTAGGTGGGCAGTATATTGAAACATTTATTTCAAAAGTTTTAGTTTTTATGTTTACTGTACTAGCTTGAATATATTCTATTCTATACATTGAATTATTATAATATAATATATATTATATTCTATATATATTAAATATATAGTTTTATATTCCAACTCATGCTGGTAATTACTATCTTTGATGATGATTGTGCTGCCTCCTTTGGCTGCAGTCAGGATATACTGTGTGGTATACCTTGTACCCTTTAAATCTAATGTAGGACTGATTTGTGAAATGTGTTTCAGAGACAAGACACTAATCAATTTTTTATATGTCAAGGATTGCTTGCAGTTCTTGTTGATGTTTAAGCAACCCATTGTTATGTAAATATAAATAAATGGTTAAATTAAAAAAAACTGTTTGTCAAATTGCTATAGAACAACTTTTTTTAACATATATAAAAATGTTATTTCTTGGAATATAAAAAAAGATTTCATCTTCAAGCAATAGTTTAAAACTTCTAACTGTTTATAAGCTAAAGTTATAAGTAATTTTGCAAAGGCTCATTAGTTTCTCAATTCTGTTATCACAAAAAGATGTTTCAGATGAAAATTAAAAACCTTTAAAATTATTGATAAAGCGATCTGAAATTCTGAAGGTTTGTTAAGTAGCACATGTCATATTGTTTGTGATAATAACAAATCTGTAAGTTCATTTTAGGAGACTATAAAAAAATTAATGATTTTGTCTTACTTACTACTTTCGTAACAACAAATTAATTTTACAACGTCTATAATACTTATGCAATTTTGGCAATGTTTAGCAAAAAATTTAAAATAATGAATTGTTGCACTTATTGTCAAACAACACTGAAATACTTAAGGGGACAGTCTCATGCGAAACTTTCAAAAAAATCAAAAAAAAAATTTTACATAAATCGCTTCCATTTACATTCAAAAACTCCCTCCTATAATTTTAAAAAGAAATTCCCACTAGAATATAAGTTATAGTTATTTTATTAATGTCAGCTACGTACGTATGAAAACCGGTTTCTCTCCGCGCGGCGAGCGCGAGGCTCCAGCTGTTCTTGCTTTTGTATATATGTTGTATATACGTCGGGTATGTATTAGTGATTCATTTTTATATAGTATGTATATCTGTATAACGTTTGGCAGTTACTATACACATTTGGAATTTTAAATCCGGAACATAGGATTTTTTACAAATACTAAGATTCTCTGCGTTGCAATTAACCAGTGTAAATTTCTTTATAACGTCGCAATGTTTTATAACTAATTTATTGTTCCACTGGATTACTATTACTTCTCCTCAGCGGTTTGTAGTAGCGTATATGGCACGCCGACAGTGTTGCTCCGTCTACCGATTTTTCCTGAAAGTCCGGTTTTGTGCAGATAATAAATAATGTTTTATTAACATCAATTTTATTTGTGTTCATTAGGTATTATTTAAGTTATAAAATTTATACTTAAATACATTTATTATTCCAAATATTGTTTATAATTTCAAATTAAAAAGAGTGTAATATAATTATTTTAGTTTTAAAATACCTTTTTAGTTATAAAATATTTTCATATCTACATTTATAAATAAGTACGTTTTCGTTAAATTGACAAGTGGTCTAGGTGTGTTCCGTTTTTACACTTACACTGGCAGCATCGCGGCGTGAATTGAGACTCCAGTCGAACTAATGAATTAATAAATTATAAAACATCAAATCAAAAGAAAAAAGCTTTACAACACCATTTACAACAACTGTTGGATGAAGAGGGACCTCAATATTCACCAGGAATGGCCGATTAAACGTGAGTATAAAGTTATCAGCCTTTAATTCACGAAAATTATGTAATAAAAACTTTAAATGCTTTTTTCTCAAAAGTAACATTTTCAAACTGGTCAGACACTTTTCTCCGAACCTGCTTAACCGATTTTAAAAAACCGAAAATTTTTCGAATGTATATACAAAAGACTAGATGATAAACGTTTAAAATATTTAAAAACCAACCCCCCTTTTATTATATATGGGTAAATTCACCGAAAATATAGTGATTTTTCGACTTTTTTGAAAAAATTCGTATAAACTCTTCAAAATAATACAATTTGCATATTTTAAAGGTTTATCATCTAGTTTTGAGTCTCACGAATACAACCCATTTTGAATATCTGTTACAGGTGACTCACAAAGTGTCTTACCACCAAAAACACACTTTTAATACACGCCTTTTAAAACACACTTTTAATACAGGAGACCAATGAAGTTAAAATCGCTATTAAAAATTATTTTTATGTACTTCAAGACTTACTTAATCATCTCCAGAAGAAATTATGTTAATAAATATTATAGTTTTTTTTCTGCTTTAATTTTAAAATGTGTCTTTTTTTTAATCGCATGAGACTGTCCCCTTAAAACATAAAAGTTTTCTTGGTACTATAAGTTAATTATCAGAACTTAAAAAATATTCAGATGCATGGATAATTTCAAGTCCTGAGATAAGTTCAAAGTTTTAAAAGACTTGTATAATTTTTTCAAAGAATTTAGACATATTGTGTGAATTTAGATAATCCAAAGATGAATTTGACTAAGCTCACAAACTCTATTATATAGTCCCAAGATTCCTAAGAGGAACATAGGGCTTCCACAAAGTGTCTCCAGCGAACTCTATTTCTGGCGAGTGCTTTGATTTCAAGCCAGGATTTTCCCATTTTTCTCCCTTCGTCCAGTACTGTCCTTCTTCAAGTTCCCTTAGGTCTGCCTACTTTCCGTCGGCCTTGGGGATTCCAATCCAGCGCTGTCCTGGCAATGTCATTTGGCGGTCTACGGAGTGTGTGGCCCAGCCATCTCCATTTTCTTAGCCTTATTTGCTTTATGACATTTTCTTGGTTGCTTTGGTTCCATAAATTTTCATTGGAGATTCGGTTAGGCCAAAATATACGAAGGATTTTTCTTAACGCTCTATTGATGAAAACTTGTAATTGGTGTACTATGGGTGCTGATATCTTCCACGTTTCGCAGCCATACAGTAATACAGCTTTTACATTTGTGTTGAAGATTTTTAATTTCGTTTTAGTTGGGTAAATCCTGGATTTCCATGTGTTGTTAAGCATGTTGTAGGCGTTGCGAGCCTTATTTATTCTTTCATGTACATCACGCTCTGTACCCCCCTTACAGTCAATTATGCTGCCCAGATATACAAATTCCGCTACTCTCTCAATTTCCTGGTCGTTGATCATAATAGGTTGGTTGTTTCTGGTACCAAATCGCATTTCTTTGGTTTTGTTGATGTTTATTTCTAGACCAACCTTCTTTGATCTTCTTGTACTTTGTTTACTTGGAGTTGCATGTCCTGTTTTGTATGTGCTAGGAGGCATATATCATCAGCGTAATCTAGGTCTTCCAGTCTGTTTGTTAATTCCCAGTAAATTCCTCTATTAGAGTTTACCTTTGTTAGTACGGAGTCCAGTACAATGTTAAATAGTATGGGGGATAAAACACAGCTCTGCTTTACTCCGTTTAGCATAGCTATTGGGTCAGATGTTATGCCGTTGTGTAGGATTTTGCTTTCTGTGTCACTGTAGAGTTCTTTGATGAGATTTACTATTTTTTCTGGTATTCCTATTTCCTGCAGTGCTTTCCATATGGCCGTATGTGTGAGCGTGTCAAAAGCTCTCTTGAAGTCCACAAAGCACACAAAGAGAGGAGAGTTGAATTCCTGTGACTGTTCTACAATTATTCTTAGTGTGTTAATTTGGTCCACGCATGATCTGTTTGGTCTGAAACCAGCTTGTTCCTTCCTCAACATTGGTTCTACACTGTTTGTTAGTCGGTTGTTTATAATTATTGCTGTTAATTTATTTATAGTATTCAGAAGTGTGATTCCTCTCCAGTTTTCGCAATATCTTCTGTCACCCATTTATAATCCCGTTTTCCATTCTTTGGGGAACTTTTCCTCTCTCCAAGCCCTTTTTAAGAGTGGTTGGATTAGCTCTGCCACTGTACCTGGGCAAGCTTTTAACAACTCTGGTGGAATATTGTCAGGGCCGGCTGCTTTGTGTGCTTTCAGTTTTTCTATGGCATTTATATTTCTTGCGTTGTTGGTTCGTTGGTGTTAATTCTCAGTTGGATATTGGGTATTAGGTTTTCTGCGTCTTCTGGTGGTGTTGGGACTGCACTTAGAGATTCGCTAAAATATTCATGCCATCTTTTGACTTGTTCCTGTGGCGCTGTAATATCTTCACCTGTAGCAATTGGTTGGTGGGTAGTATATCTTTTATTGGCTAGTTGTTTAGTGATATTATATAATTGTCTCATGTTTTGATGTTCATCGGCGACTCGCGCTTCTTCGGCAAGATTTTCTGCCCACTTTCTTTTGTCTTTCTTTGCTGCCTTCTTGACAGCTTTATTCGCTTCTCTATAACTTTCTCTAAGTCGGTTCTTCTCTGCTGCTGTCTTGGAATTTAGTAATTCTAGATTAATGTGTTTGCGACGTTCTATTTTGTTCCACGTTTCTCTCGTAATCCACTCTTTCTTTACATCTTTCTTTAGGCCCAGCACGTTTTCACTTGTTTCCACAAGGGCTTTGCTAATCGTTTCCCAATTTTTGTCCTGTCTTCGTCGATTTTGGATCTCAGCTGTCGTGCGAATTCTACTTTCGTCTCGTTATTTTGTAGTTTCTCAATGTTGAACTTTTTTCGAATAGGTTTGTTCAGTTCTTTTCTATTCCTAGCTATTTTGAATCTAATTTCGACCATCATCAGGTAGTGATCACTGGCCGCATCTGCGCCTCTCCATGATCTGACATCTAAGAGAGATGTTTTCCATTGCTTACTGATTGCAATGTGGTCGATTTGATTGTAGGTGCGGTTATCTGGCGATTTCCATGATACCTTGTGGATTGTTTTGTATGGGAACAAAGTCCCTCCAATGATTAGGTCATGGTTACCACATAATTCAATGAAGCATTCGCCTTTGTTGTTTCTCTGGCCAGTGCCATGCTTTCCGATAACGTGTCCTAGGTTGGTGTTGTCAGTGCCAACCTTGGCATTGAAGTCTCCCATCATTATTTTTATATCGGATCTTTTAATTTGTTCTAATGTTGCTTCAAGGCATTTGTAGAAATCCTCTTTTTCTTGTTCTGTTGGTGCATTGCACTGAATCAGTGTTACCAGTCTTAATTTATTCCTAATTCTTGCAGTGATTATTCGCTCTGAAACTGGTTTCCATTCCACAAGAGAATTTTTTGTGACTTTACTAAATAAAATTCCTACTCCATTTTCATGTCTTCCGCCATCTGTTTTACCAGAGTATATCAGCAGGTCGCCTTCTATGTTGACGTGTTCTCCCGTCCCATTCCACTGTGTCTCACTGAGACCTAGTATATCAACTTTATATGCTTTCATCTCTCTACAAATTTGGGAAAGGCGTGATGCTTGCATCATAGTTTTTATGTTCCAATATCTGATTCTTGTCCGTTTACGTAAGCCAAAGGTCATTATCAAAGGATCCGTCCGGTTGTTTTCTGTAGAAGTTTCGAAAATCTAGTAATTTGAGGTGGATAGGTGATTGGCCTCTCGCGCTCGATTCTGATGCCGGGGCTGCCAGCTCTAGCCATCTGACTGGCCTCAGGAATTCCTGGAATAGGACCATGACATTTTCTTCATGTTTATGGTACTAACGTTATACCGCCTATACTTGGTTGTCAGAGCCTCGTTGGTTATTTAGCAGGGTGCACCGTGTAACCATTTGTTACCGCTCGAGCAGGTGAGGTTGACATTTGGGTCATGATGTTATCTATGTTGGTTCGACCCCTTACACCCCCACAAACTCTATTAGTACTTAAATATTTTGTGTAAATTTATATTATAAACATTTCTTATTGTTATAAGGTTAAATAACAACAACAAAACAATATGATAATACTTACATCATTTAATAGAGGAATATTTTCATTATCTAGTTGTAAATCTTGCTGTAGCCTAAATTGTTCAGTCAACAATTGATGTTGTTGTATCAGACTTAAATTATCTTCAAACTTACTTCCTGAACTGGAATCTACAACAACAGGCTCCTGTTGTGTACTAAAAGTTTGATTAGAAAAATCAGTATTACTTAAACTACTAGTTACAATATTCTCTAAAGAATGAGAATTCATGTCTGGTGTCATAATTATATCTTGACTTTGTGACAGTGAGGGTAAAGATATATCTGAAACATTTTGTAGATGTTGCTGTACCATTATCAGTTCACTTGTGTGAATTGGTACCAGACATGTTTGACCATTTTGAATACAATTTGAGAGTTCCTTGTACAATTCTATTAAAAGTTTTTCCGTGCGAGCAGAACGTTCTCGAAAATCAGTAAATAATTCTAATTTATACAGACAGGTCTCACAGATCATCTTTGGAAGCTCATCTGTTTCATGGACCTAAAATATTAGTTTGTAAGTAAAAGCAAAAAATGTTATTGTATGAAAGACTACCTGCACTGGAAGACACGAGTCAATTTTTTTGCTTACTTGTCGAATTATACCTTCATTTTCAAATATATTTATAGCTAAAAATACTTCTGTTTTAGTTGCACATAATCTACATAATTCTTCAAATTTTGAATTTTCCAACGTGGTCATTTTAATTGTATAATATAGAATATATTTAGATTAAATGCGATTAAATAAGCTTTTATAGTTTCTGCATACTTTTCAATTAGAATAAATTCATATAATTTATATTTATTAATAAAATATTCACATGAATGTCACTTTTTCCAAATTTCTTCTTTTTTAAACAATTGACTGACAAAGTGACAACTGTTCTGTATGACATTAACGTAAGTCAATTCTGAAAATCTGGATGTGGGCATAATGAAAGGGCTAATAATTTTAAATTTGGGCGAAATAATTTTTAGAAATATTTTGTGAATTGTTGCTAAGTTGAAAAATTTATTCAAATTTTTAGTACCGTTTGAATGTTTTAATTTCAATTAGTTTCTGTCAAACGCCAAATTATGCACTTTCAGAACATGGACACAATGTTGTCACATTTATTAGTTGGTTATTTGTATACTAAAGTCTAAAATCGTGAATTTCAATGTGTAATTCATTTTTCTGGAAAAGCCATGAAATTATATTTTTAACTGTTTATTGCTAAACAAATTGCAAACTTTGTTTACTTTGCAATTATATTGAACAGTATAATTGCCGACAAAGCAAAAGTTGATGTATAAAAAGAAAATATAGTTTTGTTCATGTTGATGTAAAATGTTTTAAGATTTTAATTATTTTATTAGCTAATGTAAAAGTTATAGTTTTCTAGTTTTTTAATACGTTGAGGAAATTAATAATGGGAGAAAATCAACAAGAATGGAAATCACAACAGCTAAGAAATTATGGTTTTGAGCTGGCGCAAATACCAAGATACCATTTTCAAGATCCCAATGTTGATGAGCTTATGAAGAAAAATGTAAGTAACAATAAAACCCAAGAAAATAATAAGGGAATTTAGAGTACCTAGTGTATTGAAATATGTAGATGTATTTCTATTATAATCATATTTATTCACTTGACAATATTTGCTCTTGTTTGGCACATGCCATATATTTTTACATTTGGAATTCATTTTCTCATCACTTGTATTCATATTTATACCAAACCTTAGTAACAATAGTACTAGTTTAGCAAGAGGGTAGACATCTACAAAACTGAAATTTATATCTGCTTTACCAGACTTCAGGAAAAATCACATTCCAAATAAATAGTGAAGAACTAAAAACAGCATATATTTATAGAGATTGATACATTGCTTTTAATTTAAGTGAATCTTTTTTAATTGATACATATTCCTTTTGCTGTTACATTTGCAATCTTATTAATAAAAATATATTAAGTAAGCTTTTTTTAAATGTCATCAAATTTTTGTTCCTGTGTTGACCAAACATTCCAGATTGAAATGAGAATATCTGTTTAAAATTTATCACAATTTTCAATTGTGGAAACATTAAAAAGTTTCTACTTAGGTACTATGTCCAGACTACAGAGAGATTGGTGGAGTGGTGTATCCTTGTGTTTTGCCAAACACTGTTGCACAAAGTTGTATGGATGTTATACTTTGTCACATTAGTGTGATAATGAAACCATTTACTCTCTGCTCAAAATTGGGCTGCTTTCTTCTCACTGGTTAATTTTTTTAGATCTTGAATGTAAAAATAAAAGTTGTCTCTTATCTATTAAGAACACCTTCACAATTGAAAAAAAAGACAATCAACATACACACTAAAATGGAAGTTTGCATTTTTCAGGATCATTAACAATCAACTCAAAATCTATTTTTATAATTCTTGAAGCACACATTTTAGGAATTCTATGATAGATTTTAGTTCACTCACAATCAAAGGATGATCTTCTTTAATCGATAGTTTCAGACATTCAATATTGTCCACTTTTGATTTGCTGCAAGGTCAACAAGGATGCAGATCACTGTTAACAGACTTGGTCTCACTTTTGAATACTTGAAGATTTTCTTTTATCTGTATTTTGCTTATATATTCATATCCAAAGAACTTTTGCATCATATAATTTCACCAACTTTTTTTGTAAGTGGAATGCAAAACTTAATGCTGTGGTGTATTGACAGACATTGGGTCAAGATTGCCTATTGTGTAATACTGAGTAGTTGTATAATTGTTTTGTAAATGTGAACTCAAAATGTGAAGTGTCTTAATTCTTGAGCCATGGTCAGCAAAAAAATATTATTTATTAACTATTAATAAGCGTTATAATATTTATTCATGTATTGGAACATTGATTAAGTTACATCAGTCTTTGTCTTTAGTGGGATGTTTATTTTCATTTTTATTCCAAAACATTCAAATGCAAATACATAGGAAGGGTAAAAATCACAACACAAATGCAGTTCAAACATAAAACAATCAAATATACACATTAATTTCAATCATAGCTATTTTGGTCACAATATTGCAGTTTTGGCATTTACAGCAAATTTTATGTAGAATTACTTTAATTACAGAATTGACTTCCAATATAGGTCGTAACATAAACCCGAAGAAGTCCAAAATGATTAGAGAGATAAGGTTGTCTAAGCTTAAACGCTTTACATCTAAATGTGGTGTAAAAACAAATATAAGTTTTATAATATACTAATATAGTAGTTTACAAATAAATAAACTTTTAGCAACCTGTGGTAATAACTGATTCAAAACTTGTCAAGTCAGCAGTGGAAAAATGGAACCTGGATTATTTAGAACAAAATTTAGGCAAATCTGGTCACACAGTTTTTGTATCAAATGATCACAGATTTAAGTATTTTGATGAGAAAAAGATATACAACAAAAACAATCCCAAAGGTATAGAATTTGATCCTCCTACAAGACGAGTTCAAATGAAAATCAATGAGTTCATGAGAAAAATTCGGGACTGGAAAGAAGGTGACGAAAGGTAAGTGTCTTCAAGAAATATTTTGATAATTTAGTTTTACGAATGGAATTTTATGTGGTTAAATATTATTATTGTTATATAGAATAGCTATAAAGAAGAGCTCACCAAAATAGAAATTATTCCTACTGAAGATGCGAACAGGAAATAGCATATATTAAAAGATGCTCTTATACGCACATGTGAGACAACACTAACACCTAAGCTGATCAAGAACAAAAATGAATGGATGACCGATGAGATTCTGGATCTCATGGAAGCAAGAAGATCCTATAAAACCAAAGATAAAAACATGTATAATATTATACACACAGAACTAAGGAGAAAGATCAGAGATGCAAAGGAAAGATGGTATAGTGACAGATGCGAAGAGATTGAACAGTTGGTGGAGAAACATGATAACTTAAACCTTCATAAAAATAAACCTTTATAAAAAATTTAGGGAAATAACAGGCACTAATATTAAGAAAAAATCAAACATACTGCTGGATAAAAACGGCAAAATAATTATAGACGTCGGTGAAAAACTTAAAAGATGGCAGGAATATATTCCAGAGCTATTTAAAGACGAACGGACTGAGATAGTACTAACGCAGGAAAAGTTCGACAATGGCCCAGACATAACAGAAGATGAGGTATTAGAGGCGATAAAGCGAACAAAGAATAATATATTGGTCGACTTATTCAATACAATATACAGTACAGGAATCATTCCCAGAGATTGGCTGATATCAACATTCATAACACTACCAAAAAAACCAAATGCAAAAGAATGCCAAGACCACCGGATATTAAGTTTAATGAGTCATAAGCTCAAAATATTTTTAAAAATTATACACCGGAGAATACACAACAAACTTGAGCAGGACATAAGTGACACACAATTTGGATTTAGAAATGCACTGGGAACGAGGGAAGCCCTGTTCGCTGTGAATGTACTTGTGAAAAGGTGCATGTATGTTAATCAGCCAATATATATGTGTTTCTTGGATTACAACAAAGCCTTCGATAAGGTCAGATATAACTGTCTTATCGAATTACTTGAAAAGAAAAACTTAGATATGAGTGACATCAGGATCATTAGCGCTATCTATTATAATCAGATCGCTGTGGTAAAAGAGAACATCTTTTCAAATGAAATACAGATTGAGAGGGGCGTCAGGCAGGGCTGTGTCCTGTCTCCTACTTTGTTTAATTTGTATTCAGAGGAAATAATCCAGGAAGCACTAAAAGAATGGAGAATTATATGAGAATTATAGTAAATGGCCGACCAATCAATAATATACGGTTTGCCGACGACTCTATTTTATTAGCGGAATGTCTTGAAGATTTACAACAAATGGTTGACAGAGTGGTAAAAGTCAGTGAAGTAAAAGGACTGTCCCTAAACACAAAAAATACACAATTTATGGTAATTAATAAAGCCCAACAGCGCCAAGAAAGCATAACAATACATGGAGAACAAATTAAAAAAGTTGAAAAATATAAATATCTGGGTACAATAATTAATGAAAATAATGAGTACTCAGAAGAGATTAAGGCAAGAATAGGATAGGTAAGAAATTCTTTCAACAAACTGAAAAAAGTACTCTGCAGCAGGGACATTTCAATTTCTTTAAAGAAAAGCCTTCTGAGATGCTATGTGTTCTCCATATTATTTTATGGCTTGGAGCCTTGGACTTTAAAGAAATATGTTTCGGACAGATTGGAAGCCTTCGAGTTATGGGCCTACAGAAGGATATTAAGAATAAGTTGGGTAGATAGAGTCACGAATGTCGAGGTGTTGAGAAAAATGGGTAAAGATAAAGAGGTCTTAAATACAGTTAAAGTCAGAAAACTGCAATATCTGGGACATGATATGAGGGGCGAGCGTTATAACTTGTTGCAATTAATAATGCAAGGAATAATACAGGGTAGAAGGAGTCGTGGAAGAAGACGCATCTCTTGGTTGAATAATTTGAGAGCTTGGTTTAACTGCACTTCTGCTGACCTCGTTAGAGCAGTGGCGTCGAAAATGCGAATTATCATGATGGTTGCCAGCCTGCTTAGAGGAGACGGCACGTGAAGAAGAAGAAGAATACTCACTCGCTGGACCTTTTTCAGTTATTGTAGAGCCTCATCATGATTTTGCTGACCCCTTTTCTGTAGTTCTTCTCCACCAGATCTTCAGAAGTATAGCATGTAAAAAGATTCAATTGTATAGTTTGCTAATGACTAAGCCTGCGTTTTTCTTCTTTCTGATTTGTTTGTTTGTTCCTTGTCCATTCTTGTCCCACGGAAAGCTAATGAATTAATGGTCACTCCCGAAAGAGTCGACAAGCAGGGATAAGGCTAATGAAGCATGGGAGTCGTTTTTATTGAGCTGTTCTTTGCAGAATTAGTGATCACAACTGATTATAGAAAGCCACTCTACCAGGACAATATTTCATGTTTCTCGGAGAGAATATATAGTGCGAGAGAGGCGTTAAAAACTGTCATGATTTGTAATATCCATTCCATCTGGACATATGGAATCCAACTCTGAGTATGTGCGAGCAAGCCAAATACAACCATAATTTAAAGAAGTCAATCGAAAATACTGCGAATGATAACTGATGCACCCTGGTATGTATGAAACCTAACGCTTCATGAAGACCTAAGAATCCCGTTGATACAGGATGTGGTCACTAAATGTAGTACGAAGCACCATGAAGGACTGGAATCACACAGTAACCCCTTACATATTAATTAATATTACTAACCTCTAATAGAACATAAGCCAATAGGAGACTCAAATGGAACTGGCCAGCTGACCTGAGAAACAGTTAAAGTGGTTTTGTCACTGGAGAAGACCTCACCAAGCCAATAGCAGCCCTGTGCTCTGCTGCCAGCAAATTAGCTTACAGAACATTATCTGTGTATTGATTTCTAAAGGGCATAACTAAATAAAAAGAAAATTGTAATATTTTCCAAAATGTCAGAATTTGTGTGGAATAGAAAGAGTAATTTAATTTTGAACTGCGTGCAATGATAATTTTCTCAATTATCTTCTGGAAACTTGATAGCAAATATTTGAAAAATTGTATCATACAATAAATAAATATTCAAACTAAAACTATCAAATTTAATAATTCTTTGAGTTATAGATGTATATTTGTTGACATCTTAAAGCTATAAAGTAATTCATAAATGTTAATTTAACACTTCTGATTTGTACACAAAAACTTTTCCTCAGTTTGATCTACTGTGATTTGTATGCAAACCACAGTAGATCAAACTGCTAAGATATTTAATTACAGATTTCTAAACAGCGAAAAATAATTTTGATAATGCATTACCTTCTAGATTATATCTTCAGCAATCTTTGAACTCTACAGTGGGTCCTAACATCGTAGAAGATTATTTAAAGTTTGATTGGCACTTTGTTGTCCAGAAAAAGACTACACACCATTGGGGAGAATTGACTTCTAATGTACTATTTGTTTCCCAAGAAGGAAACGTCACGCCTTGTCATTATGATGAACAACAGAACCTGTTTGCTCAAATTAGTGGGTTTAAAAGGTGTATTCTCTTTCCACCTGACCAATTTGAGTGTCTGTACCCCCATCCTGTTTATCATCCACATGATAGACAGAGTATGGTAAGTATAGCTTTTAGCATTTATTAAGTTTACCTTGAATTAAAACAAAATGTTATAAATGAACTAATTATTTTCCGGATTTGGACGACCCAAAAGTTGGTTCATCTCAATGTTTTGCCATCCTTGCAGGTTGCTTTTTTAGGTGCCGAGATACTAACAGCATGTACCCAAGCCTGTATCATCCAAAAATGACAGTCCAAACCCAGAAGACGATTAGTGAATTCTAAGTCTAGCCGTGAAAGCCTTCAACTTCATTTAAATTATTATGAAATTATGAAATCAAAGCGAGTGAGAACTTCAGCGTATATTGGAGGCAGAAAGTACAGGAGGCAAAGGTTCAATTTGGGCTATAGGAAGAAGAAAAAGAAAATCCAAGCCTTCTTCTTCTTCCTAGCCTTCTGTCGTCCATGTTTGGACATAGGCCTCTCTCAACTCCTTCCATCAGTCTCTATCTTGAGCAACATATTTCCAATTTGTTCCGGCTATTCTTTTACCTATATATTACTGATATAAGATTAACTCTTTAACCTAGCCATATCTAGGCTGTACAACCCAAACTGACCCTTCGATGGTACATTTGTATTCCTATATTTTTTTATTATATTTTGAATATATAGGTTATTCCACGAATCGACTGTTTTCGATTATTGCGACAACGAATATCTTACCGTGCAAGTAGAAGTATGATAGTAAATTGGTCTAATCATTATTCCAATAAAAATGATCTGCTGTTAGTACTTATAACATCTAAACTAAAATTATTTTAGTTAATAGATCTTCAAAGAGACGCAAAATTTATTGTGAAATTTAATCCGAAAATAACAAACATTTTTACTCCAACGCAAATACAATGATGTCTATGAAGCCAAATGTGTTCATCAGACATTTGGTTGGATTTAATTTCGGTAAACACCAAAGAGGCGTACTGGATTTCTTTGATATTACACTATTTTATTACTTTATTAGGGACTATTATTGACTGTTATGACGACACCGTCATTATTGCGGACAGTGCTGAGGGTTTACAACGACTTTTGAATGTCATAACCAGAGAGGGAGATAGCTTGGGACTAAATATAAACACAAATAAAACAAAAGTAATGGCTGTTACACGTGCACCAAATGTCGACATTAATATTCGTATCTATAACAAACATTAATTACTATTTAACTGGGAATAAGCCACAATTAAAAATAAAAATACGTTGACGTTTCAATTTCCACTTCGGAAATCGTTCTCAAAATACAAACAGTTTATAAATATTTACTGTTTGTATTTTGAGAACGATTTCCGAAGTAGAAATTGAAACGTCAATAAACGTATTTTTATGTTTAATTGTGGCTTATTCCCAGTTAAATAGTAATTAATTTACAATGCCACAAGAAAATAGCTTCAGAACAATATAACAAACATATAGAACCAGTACACAGATTCCAGTATCTTGGTTGCTGAATAACAAACGATCTTGACCACGAGGTCAAAATACGTGCTCGTATAGTATATGCTAGGTCTACATTTCAACGTATGAAAAAATTCCTAATAAACTCTACGTTTTCGTTGGATATCAGATACCAATTTGTAAAAACGTTTATTTATTCCATATTGCTATACGGAGTGGAAACATGGACTCTCGGAATTACAAGTATGAGGCGTACAGAAGCTTTTGAGATGTGGGTTTTTCGAAGGATGCTGAAGATTTCTTGGACAGAGCACGTGACCAACAACGAGGTGCTAAGAAGAATGGGTACTGAGAGAGAACTCCTAAATATTGTAAAAAACAGAAAAACGAGTTATCTAGGAGATATTTATAGAGGAGAAAAATACAACTTCCTACGACTTATAATGGAAGAAAAAGTGGAAGGAAGAAGATTTATAGGAAGAAGAAAATGCTCCTGGTGGAAGAATGTAAGAGACTGGACAGGTATGGACACACATTCGATACTAAGAACAGCTCAAGATAGAGAGCAATTTGGTGTAGTTATAGCCAACCTTCAGTAATGGAGAAGGCACCTTAAGAAGAAGATTAGGGACTACAACTGTAATAAAAAGAAATATACTGTTTTTAATATAAATGAAAAGAAATTGAAAGAACGATGGTTCAGAAACCAGATTCGCTTTGTTAGTTTTAAATATTTGTTTGCTTTGAGTGGATGTACTCTTAAAAGTACCGAGTCGTTACAGATATTAAAAAGTAACGGAAATTCACATACAATTTCAGATATCGCCGACTGATTTTAGTTTTAAAAACCGTTTTTTTTGTTTTTTATTAACTAATTGAATATTCGACTAAATAACTTACACTATTTAATCACTAAAGTACTGTTACACTTCGTTTAACACATTTGTGTTACACATCGCCACAGCTGTTAAAAAAAAAATTCTGGGGCCACGCGTATATTTTCGTGTATTTGTTTTTATGAGATGACTTTTAGTGATTTCGCATTCATAGAACCCTAAATTGATTGAAACACCCCTTGATTTTACTTAAAAAATATGTCGCTCAAATATGTCCGACGTGGCCTCGTGATCATTGATTCATCGCTCAGGGCCACGTCAGCCGTACATGCGCGACGATACGACAAGTCGAGACGATGCAGTTTTATGTCAGTTAGTCAGTACAAGGTTGAATTCGGTCGTGAGTACATCGTACGTAAAGAAAAATAATGTCTAAGCGTAAAGGATTATCAATAGACGAATTAAGAGCATTACTAGAAGAAAGTGATGATAGTGAAAGTGATGCGAGATATTTAGACTACGACTCAGACGATTCTTTGAACGACCCAAATTGGGAATCTGATTATGAATTAGATTTAGAAGAATCTGTAGAAAGCATGGAATCAATACTGCAAGATCTTGAAGCTAGAGAAAATCAAGAAAGTGAAGATGAAGCTAATGACGATTCGCAAGAAGTAACAGAACCAGAATTGAACACTGTTCCAGATACACCCAATTGGAATTTGTACGAGGGTCGTCACAAAAAAGTTTTTCTTTTTATGGGAAAGCATGGCCTACAGGTAAATTTACCGAATACTATATCAGCTTACGAGACATTTTGTTTGTTTATTGACGATGAGGTTATACATTATATAGTCGATCAGACAAATAAATATGCTGAAGCACAAATGAAAACAGCACGTATATCACGATCGGGTCGCTTGAAACAATGGGTTTCGACAAATAATCAAGAAATAAGACAATTTTTTGTCTTCTAATTTGGATGGGGTTAGTGAAATATGGTAGTATTGCATCTTACTGGTCAACCAAACAAATTTATCAAAGTAGTGTTGCTTCAAAAGTGATGTCTCGTAACAGGTTTGAGTTGCTGCTTTGTTTTATTCATTTTTCGGAGAATAGTAGTTCCCAAAATCGTCTAAATAAAATACAGCCTCTTGTAGATATTTTGCATAGAAAATTTCAAACAACGTATTTTCCAGGAGAAGACTTTGTAATATACGAAACATTAGTTCCTTGGCGTGGTAGACTAATATTCCGTCAATATATACCAAACAAAGCTCATAGGTATGGAGTAAAGGTGTTCAAACTATGTTCTACCAATGGTTACACTTGGAATAATAAGATTTATGCTGTGAAATCTGATGACTATGACAAAAATGTTGGATTGGGTCAGGCAGTTTGCCTTCAGCTTTCAGAAAATCTATTAGATCAAGGCCGCATATTATATGGGCCATTCAGAAGCCAATGGGCCTATGTCCATTTTTTATGTAATTCACGTTTTTCGATTTTCTGGGAATAAAAACATGTAATTTTTCAGTAGCCAAACCACTCATTTCAATTATCTTATCGCTTATACCAGAGATGGCAGCATGTGTTCTGTCACGGAAATAAATTTTAAAATAGTTTCAGTTGTCACATAGCATATGTCCCGTTGTGCGCGGGAACAGAGTTAAGTAAGGTTAATCGTAGTTTTTTTACTATAAGATACGTTGTTTGCGTTCGTTCGTTGTGTTAGGAATTCGCCTAAGCAGGTATAAATAAATTGTTATTGAAAATTAAAAGACAACAATGAGTGAATCTGAATATTCTGGATCAGATTATGTACCGAGTGAGGAATGTGCTTCCGATACAAGTGTTGAAAATGAAATTCCTGTACCTGATGATGAAGCAGGACCGTCTCGAGTTATTTCAGTTTCTAATAATAATGATCAAGAAGCTCACGCCACTGATAGTGAACAAATACGAGGCCGAAAAAGACCACTCCATCCGGAACTTTGGAAACGAAAGAAAAACAGCTTAGCCCGTGCTCATGGGGGCAAATATGTGAATCGTAAAGGTAAAACAATTGAAGCAAAACCTTTCAAGAACGATGATTGTTATTGTAGACTAAATTGTAACTCAAAAATAACGTTTGATCAACGACAGAAAGTGTTTAATTCATTCTATGCACTGGGCGATTCGCAAAAACAAAATATATTTTTGATGGTATCATACACTCTTCAGTGGTAGCTAGACATCGACCCAGAGAAACAGTAACTTTAGGTTTGTCAAAAGAAAAAACCCTACACTTTAGTCTTAGAATAAATGGAGAAAACATTAAAGTGTGTAAGAAGTACTTCACAGCGACGTTTCAAATCAGTGATCACCGAGTGCGTAATACTGGCGGCAAAAGTGAAATTTGTGGTTTACGATCTGTAAATGTGTTATCACCAAAGAATAAAGTTGACGTGTCTAAAGTAGTTGAACACATAAACTCCATCCCAGTACATCAAAGCCATTATACGCGGACACACAATCCAAACCGTAAGTATTTGCATCCCGATCTGACTATCAGAAAAATGTATAACATGTACGTGGACAAATGTAATAATGAATGGCAGGTAACACCTGTAAAAGAAAAAATGTATTATTCGGTATTTTCCACTAAGTTCAATTTACATTTTAAGCAACCCTTGAAAGATACTTGCTCAAAGCGTGATGCTGCACAAGTTACGTTGAATAAAGCTATAATATCAGACGAAGAAAAACGAAAAGTTGAAATTGAAAATAAATTACATTTAAGGAAAGCTGAGCAAGCTCGAAGTGCCTTAAAAGTGGATAAAGAAAAATCAAGTTCCCATGACTATGTTTTTACATTTGATTTACAAAAGGCTCTGGCATTTCCCAAGCTAACCACGTCTGTGGCGTATTATAAACGAAATATGTATGTTTATAATCTCGGTGTGCATCCTTATCATACAGGCACTCGATACATGTATGTTTGGTCAGAAGTTGATGGTTCTCGAGGATCTCAAGAGATATCTGCATGCCTGAAAAAACATTTAGAAAATCATGCAAATGACGCTCATCATATTGTAATGTATGCAGACTCCTGTGGGGGTCAAAACCGCAACATTAAGTTGACTCTTACACTAATGAAGTTGCTGCAGTCATCGATAATAAGATCAGATATTATAGACATAAAATTTGTGATAACTGGCCATAGTTATTTGCCTAATGATGCCGACTTTGGTATCATTGAAAGCAATGCCAAAAAACATTCAGTCATTTATGATGCAGATGATTGGTATAGCATAATTAAAAACTGCCGACCTACTACCAAACAATTCGAAGTAACAAAAATGAATAGGAGTGATTTCCTGTCAACTTTACCTTTAGAGGAAGCTATAGTGAATCGCAAAATAAGTAACGACAAAGTAAAATTGAACTGGCTGAATATGCGATGGATTCGCCTAGTTAGATCTAAACCGTCAGTCATTTATTTTAAAGAAACCCTAAATGACGATGTCCAATTCGATGAAGTTTGTGTTGCAAAACGTTCAAGAGGAAAAAATAAAGTTGAGCACCCCTTGAACCTACAACTTATTCATCAGCCGCTACTGTATTAAGCAGACAGACCTGTAACTTTTCAAAAAAAGAAAGATATGCTTAGTTTGTTGAAGTTTGTCCCCCATAATAAACACAGGTATTTTCAAAAACTCAGAACAGTAAATGTAAGACAAACGCCTGAGATTGCCCCATTAGTAGATATAAATGAGGAAAATGATGAGATTCAGTACCAAGGTGATAATGTAAATGGATAAGCACGTAAAATGTTGCCGTTCAGAATACAGATTTATGTTATTTTTATTTGCGTTTGTATTCCTATTGCATTCAAATTTTGCTCAGTTAATAAAACTTTGAACATTTCTCACATTTTTATTTCCAGTACCTCAAAAATGTATAATAGTAAGCTCTTTTCAAGTCAAACGGACATGGTTAATTTCGTAGTTCAAAAATGTTCAGATGCCAAATCGATTAAGTCCAGTAAAATCTAATTTTTCTTTAATATCTAAATGAATATGTAACTAAAAAAAATATTACTATAGGAATAAATATTTGTAACGTTTTTAATGAACAAGTATAGGCCATAATAATAAAAAATGTGTTTATCTTATAATATTATCAGTGTCAACACTAATATTGCTCTCCTGAAAAATTTATAAAAAGGGACATAGGCCCATTGGCTTCTGAGTGGCTCATATATCGACAACTTCTACACCAGTTATAACTTAGCATTGTCACTTCTTGATAGAAATACACACACTGTGGGAACAGTTAGAAGCAAGAGAAAATACTTACCCCAAAATGTTATGTCTGCAAAATTAAAAAGAGGTGAATCAATAGCACGAGAAGACGAAAATGGGATAGTGGTAATGAAATGGCGCGACTCGTGATGTTAAAATTTTATCAACAAAACACTCACCAAATATGACTCAAATAGAAGAGAGAAACATTCATCCAAGTACCAGTATACAAAGTAAGAGTCGTAAAAAACAAACAAAAGAAAAGCCTGAGATAGTGTTAGCGTACAACAAGGGAAAACCAGGAATTGATGTGTCCGACCAATTATCGACTTATGCTTCTACACTACGCAAGGGCGTTAGTGGTATCGAAAGCTTGCTTTTGAATACCTGCTTGGAATTTCAATTGTAAACGCATTTCTAATTTATAAGGTTGTTAAAAGTCCTACAGCCTCTAAAACTCAAATAAACCTCACAAAAATACGATTATTTAGGAAACAACTGGTACAAGATCTTTTAAATATAACGGAGATACCAACAAAGACTCTTAACATAAAAAACACGCATTTCTTACAAACAAAAAAGGATGAAAATAACAAAAGAATTCGACGAATGTGTGTCTTGTGTTACGCCAAGATAAAAGAAGAAGAAGGACGATATGTTGCCCGGAACAAAGCAAAAAGAGTATACACTTACTGCCCGGATTGTACCTCTCAACCATTTATGTGTTTTGAATGTTTTGGAGTCAATCATAAACCCAATTGACTATTTTGTATTTTATTTTGGATGAAAAAATAAATTTCTTGTTTTTACTGTAAATTCTGTTTATTAATTAATTTCAGCTGAAATCCAACCACAGTTGCTTTGTAGGAGGCCACACATGTTATGCCTAATGCTAAAATATTATAGTGTCACTCAAATATGAGCGACGCGACGCTATATGATATACAAGAAAAATCATGGTGTTGGACATATATGAGCGACGTGGCCTAATAAGCACTATTGGTGTCGGCCATATATGTCCGACGTGGCGATCAATGTGTTAAATCACTTAATTCAAGAACCAACTTATTTACAAGACTAAACTCAATGATAGTAATTATATACTTCAAAATGTGAATTACAACTTTTCTATAAACTATCAACTCTATATTTATATAATGACTTCATATTTAAATCTAAGGTTTATATCTGTCACAACAGTATTTTAAAAATGGGGAGAATTTACTATTGTACCATTCAGCACATTGGACCACTTAAATTGACACCTTAAACCGAATATAAAACAGTCGTATATTCGTGGAATGGAGTATATTTTGATTGCTAGTTGTTTGTTTCAAATCACCCAAGAAGATTTAGGTTTATCATTTATCTTGGTGTCTCAATGACTCTTATCTCTTCTGATGTGTGGTATACATTTTTATTTAAAAAGATGTATACATGCTCGCTTTTAAACTGATCAGTTTGATGATGTGTTTTTTTCTTCTTTGTTTCTAACTCGCTGCCGCTAGTGTCGGATTCCCAATTTTCTTAGATCATCCTGCTTAACTATTACGGCTCCTTAACTAAAGAAAAACCACATAAACTCAACATCATAGAAGTTTATGCTTCAAAAACAACTTTAGACAACACAGATGTCGAAGAATTCTACCAAAAATTGCAGACATCTATTAAGAACATCCCAAATAAGGAATTAAACTTAATTTGTGTCGGCACACCACATAGCATGATGGTTTAAAGAGTATACCTGGAAAATTCGGCATAGACGAAACGAATTATTAGACTGCTTAATTGAGTTTGCTATTACCAACAAATATTCTACTATGAACACCTGATTAAAGCACCAAATACTTAGACTCTACCTGGAAAAGTCCTAGAGCTAGACTGAGAAACCAAATATATTATATTTTAAGTAATATTCGCTTGAGATCATCAGTTCAAACGATCAGATCATGTCCGGGGCGATATGCGTATGCATATCAGAACAATTTCATCTCATATGTAAAATAAAGCAAGCTTTAAGCATACAACGAACGTGAAGATACAAGGAAGCTAGAAATAAGAAATAAGACTTTCAAGTGGAAGAAGAAACTATGCCCTCTATTCTCAGTGGCAGAACCCAAGAAATATGAGAAGCTGCAATTGTGTAACATCTCCAATAAACCCTTTAAATACACATAATTCTGTGAAGCAAAAACACTGGATAACAGACGAAACATTTCAAATCCTTGAGAATAGAAGACATTTTTGTTTAACTAGTGTAGTTAATATTACCACATATTCAAGGAAATTGGGGAAAACCATGCGGGAACCCTGAGAACAGAGAAGATATAGTAGAGACGTGAAGATCATACTGCCAGGATTTATATAAAGACGAACAACACCAGCAAATTGCCCAGCAGAAATATGATGAAATACAGAATAAAACGGAATAAAATTGCTTCACCTCTTGTTCACTTAAATATGGCACTCCAGACAACGGCACAGTGACTGAACACATTCTACAATTAGGATAATAAACAAAAAATCGCTTTCATACGAAAACTTTCCTACAAAAAGAAATTCCAGAAGAGCAGGCCGGATTTGTCAAAGTAGAGGTACATGAGAACTCCTTTTGAGTATTAGACACATGATTGAAAAATCATTTGTCTAATAGGATATCCCAAGAGTATATCCCATTATACATTTGCTTTATGGCGCATACTAAAAGAAGTAGGCAACACAGTCAAAGTACTTGACACACACTCGACACTTATCTTCTCATGGAGAACATATGGGGGAGCGTTTGAAAGATGAGAAACGGGAATCTCAATAAATATCTGAAAAATGAACAGTCTGCGTTTTGCGAATGACACAGCTCTTCTTTCGAACAGTCAAGAACAGTGAATTGATCTTTTAGGGCTGGTGAAAAATGAAAATCAAATATTTGGTGTTCATTTAAACATATCGAGGACATAAATCATGTTGTTCGGTGTCATGGTAGTGGATAAGCAACACTACAATCATCCACATCTAACCAATATTGACGGGTTTGATACTGTTACCTCATTTTTGTATCTGGGATCAATTGATTACAAACACAGGGATACTGCAGGAAGAAATAAAACGCAGCATTCTTTGTTAGATGTCATCTAGCAAAGATGTCTATATGAGAGATATATGCGTAATTTTACTAGTTGTATAATTTCGTAAATAATTTTTATCATATTTTAATACAATTAAATATTTACTAAAAAATTATTTCAGATTGACTTTGACCACCCAGATTACACCAAATATCCAAAATTTAAAAACGTCAAGGGCTGTGAAACTATTTTAGGACCAGGAGATGTACTGTATATTCCTATTTGTTGGTGGCATCACATAGAATCCTTATTGAATGGTGGAGCAACCATAACTGTCAATTTTTGGTACAAGGTAAGTTTTGAATTGTAAGACTTTAGCACGCAAGTTTAAGGATTTTTAGAATATAATTACGTTCTAGGAAGTTATAGCTTGTTTTGTTTCCAAAGTCACAACAAAATATTGATATTAAAGAAGCAACCCTTAACTGTCTAGGTATATATCATACTGCTGACAGATTTAAATTGTAAGATATTATTTTTCACATTATCGACAAAAATAAAATCACTCGACTATTATATTCGTTGTCGCCACCACTATATTATACTTAGATATTGTACCACGTTTTATTATTATTTTATATATAAAACTAGATCATTATTTTTTCGTGTTACCTATCTTACCTGTCTCGTCATATTTGTAAATCCATCATTTCAAAGCATTTGTAGATCGTAGCTAATACAAGTGTTTTATGGGATGGGGCAGTTAACCACACGTCCAATCACCAAATTGGAGGACCAGGGGTTTTCTGTTGAATTCTAGCTCCTCTGGCAAGAACTGGAATCGCATTTCGTCAATTCCAGTTCTTGCAGTTATTTCGCTGATGCTTACCCGTTAGTGCCTCTTTTATTATCTAACAGGATGCACTATGTGAAGGTGAGTTTGATATTTGAGTAGAAGAGGTTGTGCCAATAGCTTTCATATCTCCCTTACCCTATTGATAACTATACTCTGTTTTTTAACCAGGAGGAGTAAACCAAAAAGACAGATTCACACCCAAGAAAGTTACTAGAACAGTCACCAAATACATCTTCTTTTTTTGTTGATTATCTCGGCCTTGCGGTAATCGAGTAATCAATATCGGACAATCTTACACGTCAATTTTAACCTAACTTTGTTTATTTGTGTTTGAATAATACTTTTTTCAATTCACTTTCAATATATTTTACAATTATTAGAATAAAAAAAGGACATTTTTTGTTTAAATATAGGATAATCCAGTTTTATAGATTTCTTGAGTCTATGGTATTTAATTATAATTTAGAGAATATTTTGATTCGGAGAGTTGATAATGTTAAAGATCTAAGTATGGTTTTTCACAAAAATTTGTCTTTTAATTTGCAAATATATCTTATATGCAACAAAGCTATACAAATGCATGTATGAAAAAGTTATAGAGAGTTCAAAGATTTCTGAAATACTGTTCTTTTAAACTGCGTAGACCATATTCTTATACTGGTATGATCAGTTTCTTGAATCTAGTTTTTTTTTATCAGAGGAGCTAACTTTAACTTTGATCATTATTTTTAAGCTTAATAATCCAATCTCTTGAATTGCTTCAGCCACTTTGTTTTACATATTCCTTCCCGTTCACTGTTTTAGAATTCACTTTTTCATGTTTCCCATCACAGAATAAATTATGGTTCACATATAGGTATGGTCCTACTTTTCCTGCATGTAATCAGTTACCTCATTAGATAGATTTGTTTAACTTATGTATCAATATCTTAAGGTTCTATTTGAAGCACTAAAATGCAAAAAGATACTTTGTATAAATAAGTGTGTACTTACAATTTCTTTAATGCTGGATTCTTGTTTAATTTTGACTGTGAATTTGTCCCATTTGTTATCAATAAATAAAATTTACTAAAAAATACTGGACTTCTGTGATATAATCAACAAATTCGATCTATTATATTACATTCTAGCATAATTTTGCAATTTTCTTGTGATGATCTACAACCAGGAAGAACAAAACCAACGGTATCAATACAATCAAACTAAAACACAACATTACTTTAATAATGTTCTTTTATTGTGATGAAAACAAAATGAAAATGCTTCTTAACAAGTAGGTATACACTAAAATTAAAAGATACTTGCCGTTTTTCTTAGGATAATTAGATATAAATAACATACATTTATAAATTTATAAACACTTTAAACTATATTTAGTATAAATATCATCTAGAAAATATCACGTTAAATACTATTCGCATATCACCTAGTCCAAGTTATTACAAAAACAACTTAAAGAGTCAGAAATCGCCACAGATAATCACCACTATATTATACTTAGATATTGTACCACGTTTTATTATTATTTTATATATAAAACTAGATCATTATTTTTTCGTGTTACCTATCTTACCTGTCTCGTCATATTTGTAAATCCATCATTTCAAAGCATTTGTAGATCGTAGCTAATACAAGTGTTATGGGATGGGGCGGTTAACCACACGTCCAATCACCAAATTGGAGGACCAGGGGTTTTCTGTTGAATTCTAGCTCCTCTGGCAAGAACTGGAATCGCATTTATATATTAGATTATATATTAGATTTATATATTAGAGGAAAATAATATTCAGTGCATAATATATTATTCGGGATGTATATAAAAATAAAAATTTAATAATTTTATTAGTCTTCCAAAATATCCTCCCTATTTATGTCTTGGTGAGGTTCGTGCACAACTACACCATTTTGAATGTCTTCATTTAGTTGTTTAGCAAAAACTGAATCTATTTTAGATATTTGAGTAAGAAAGTTTTGTTTTTGGTCAGCAGCCCAATGTATAAACCATTCTTTGAATAATTTCACCTAAAAAATAACTATGGTAAGCCATTAATAATATAGACAATAAGTCAATCATCGTATATAATTACCACTAGTACTTGGCATTGAATCCATATTGTTATCTTAATGACACTAATATGTTGCTAAATAGTTCTGAAAAGAACTGCTTTTTATATAAATGCAAACGAAAAATCTAAAAATGTAAGGAATAACGCAGAAAATACAAAAAATCGTCGATATAAATTTTTAATTTTAAAATTTCACAAATGTTATTAGTGTCAATATGTCATAATTTAGTGGAGTAAACTTGCCTGCCATTGGACCAATTACAAACAAGCATTAGGGCGCGGAAAATTTGAATCACTCCTCCTGGTTAAAAAACAGACCATATAAAAACATCAAAATTGGAATATCTCAAATTCACATGTTAACAAGATACAAATATTATGATCATTTGAAATGAATAGGCACTGTGAAAAGGAAAATACTGCTATCGATACTTATTTGTTACAATCTTCTAAGTTTTTACAACATATTGAGATTGATTATTTTTAGGGCGGACCGACAAATTTGGAGTACCCCTTGCAAGATCACCAGAAAGTATCCATCATGAGAAATGTGGAAAAAATGTTACTTGAAGTATTACAGGATCCCAACGAAGTGGGTCCTTTGTTGAGGACTATGGTATTAGGAAGATACACAGACCCTTAAAAGGGAATGTGCTCTTCTGTGAAGTGGTTCTAGTCTTTATACAAAGTAAGTTCCATATCTTCTATATCTCTACTAGTAGTAAGCAACCACTTTATTAAAATTAGAGTCTGTATTATTGACATTTTATTCTAGTGTGGTCAGTGTCAGCTTAAGAAATTTATGGTTTAAAACTTATCTATCCGTTAAATATTATTTAATATGTACACTACTAACTGCATATACAGTGTAGGAAAAATTTTATGGTCGGTATGGTAAAATTTAACAGGATATCTAACGCAGATATAAAATCATATTTTCAGCGAATAGACAAAGATAACAATCATATTTCCCCTTGGTCTCCCCTTCTCAAATATTTTTAACACCTATTGGCCATTAGTGAGACGAATAGTTCCGATCAGAGATATTTTACATATTCTCTGGTTCCGATCCTAATATACCTGAAAAACTAGAGGTGGGTCCTCCCGTTTTTTAAATTTTTATCGGAACCGTTTTTCGTAAACTGTAACTAGTTGATTCAAATTAGCGAGTACACAAACATATTGGCTATTATCGTTTATGTGTATAAGTATTGAAGTGAAAGAACCTAACGAAGGATATATTTATTATAACTCGAAAAATAAATTAAACAATACAAATAGTACTTACATTTACATTAAATCGTACTTACATTTACATTACACGTTATTATTAAATCGCGAATCGTCTAAATTGACATTTAAAAACAAGTTTTTCTACTTTTCTTGTTAACCGTGTTCTTCTTTTATTTAAAATTAAACCAGATTTTAAACATGTGTTCACAAGGAAAAGATTTTGTTACAATTCTACAATATTTTATGAATATAGTGGCTAAGTTAGGATATACATGGCGATGGTTTTTCCACCACGGTAATGGACAGTTCCAATCTCCGTTCGAAATTTATTGTGGGTAATATATTATCAGACAAATACATGTCGACTTCTTGTATATCTCTCGATACAGTTGTATGTTTAGATGAGTCATGTCCAATTAATTCATCAAAAATACACAATGGACTTAAGTCATCTTTATCAGTTTCTTTTTCTTGACTAAACTTATTGATTTACTAAACTTATGCAAAGACTCGTTTCATCCGTTTTCTATAGGTAAAGAACCAGCTTTTAAAAAGTTTGCAGGGTGGATTCCTGGATATAAACCGCCAACAAGAAAAACTGTTAGATTCATTACTTCAGGAATGTTATGTCAAAACTGATTTGATAATAGATAAAATAAAAAGTCCTTTTTTCGACAATTCTGCAAAAAACATTAAAAAAAAGTACCTTATCTTCAGAAAGGCTTTTAAAGAATTAATTACAACATAACAAAGTTCCCAAACGGCCAATCCAAGACGTGGAAACTAGGTAGAACTTCACCTATTACAGGTTAAAAAGAATGACTGAGTTAGAAGAGGCAATCCGTTTCACTTCTTCTTTTTTAAGTTCCATCTTCTATCGAAGGTTGGAAATCATCATGGCTATGCCGACTCTGTTGACTGCCGCTCTAAAAAGGTCTGCACTACTGCATTCAAACCATTCCCTTAAGTTCTTAAGCCAGGATATTTTTCGTCTTCCCACATTTCGCTTTTCTCGGATTTTGCCCTGCATAATAAGTTGTAATAATGCGTATTTTTGCCCTCTCATCACATGTCCCAAGTACTCAAGTTTTCGTCTTTTAATAGTTAATATTATTTCTGCCTCATTTCCTATCCTTCTAGTTACTTCAATGTTTGACATTTTTTGAATCCATGATATTCGTAGGATTCTTCTGTAACACCAAAATTCAAAGGCGGCCAACTTATTCAGATGAACTTGTTTTGGTGTCCAAGCTTTCAGACCATAAAGAAGAGTAGAGAACACGTAACATCGAAGCATTCTCAGGCGTAGTTCTAACCTTATATCCCGACAACAAAGAAACTTTTTAAGTTTAATAAATGATGTACGTGCTATTTCAGTACGTGTCTTAATTTCTTTGGTTTGGTCTACATCTGATGTTATCCATGTTCCTAAGTATTTATAGTTATTAACACTCTTAATTGCAGTATCTTCAATAGTCAATTGGATATTTGTACAGATTTAGTCATGATCATGCATTTAGTTTTCTTTAAATTTATCTTCAGTCCGTACTCATGACAGTGTTCATTAAGGCGTTGCATTAGGTTCTGTAAATCATTGTTGTTATCCGTAATTATTACTGTATCGTCTGCAAAACGTAAGTTATTCAAAACTTCTCCATTGATAGATATACCTTCTATTGAGTCTGAGAGCGCTTCTTGAAATACCGCTTCACTGTAGACATTGAAAAGTAGTGGGGACAGCACGCAACCCTGGCGGACTCCTCTCTGTATTTTGATATTTTCGGTGTACTGGCGTGTATTTCCGTTCCACATCGGTATTAAATAATACAGACTTAGACTTAGACCAAATCTTTTAAAGAAATAACAAGTACAATGAGTGGCCAAAAATACTTGAATGATAGTTCGGTGATTGTTCTGGTACCCTGCCTGCAAAAATCTTGCAATAAAATTTTAGCAAACAGTAACCTTACATCCATAGTATCCGACGTAGTACGGGTTTTTATTACTAATTACGGGATAATTACTAATCTCTTTTTTAGCAAAAAGATTTAGAGTGATAGAATACAGTGGCATATTGTCATTATGTACGTTTATGGATTCACGATTTAAAGTGCAGGGATTTTCTGATAAAAATGACGCTAAAAAAACAAAAGAAATAGTTAAGAAGCTGGTTACTTCTATAATTAAAGAACAAGAAGATTATACTATTGAAAATCAACCAGTATAAGAAAAAGAAACCGATAAAGATGACTTAAGTCCACGGTGTATTTTTGATCAATTAATTGGACATGACTCATCTAAACGTACACCTGTAGCGAGAGTCCATTACAATGGTGGAAAAACCATTGCCATGTATCTCCTAACTTAACCACTATATTCATAAAGTATTGTAAATGTGAACACATGTACAAAATCAGGTTTAATTTTAAATAAAAGAAAAACATGGTTAATAAGAAGTAAAGTACAAAAACTTATGTTTTTAAATGTCAATTTAGGCGATTCGTGATTTAATAATAACGTGTAATGTAAACGTAGGTACGATTTACTATTTGTATTGTTTAGTTTAGTTTTCAAATTATAATAAAATCTTTTATTAGTTTCCTTCACTTCAATAAATATACACATAAACGATAATAGCCATTATGTTTGTTTATGTAGGTAGTTTCTTACTTGAAACTACTATTAAAAAATCATAGTTACTTGTTTACGAAAATCGGTTTTGCGACGTCAATGACCCACCTCTATTCGTAAATACATGTGTACCCCTTGATTCGGTGATTTGACCACGCGACACGCCACGTTGGCAAATAGTTTTGTACGAAGCTTTTCTATTTATATGCAGTTTAATATTTTTATTGGAAATAAGGCATAATGTCACTTTAAAATAAGCTTATTTTGATGTTTAGATTTTTAATTCGGAAATCGTTTTTAAAATACGAAACATTAATAAATTTTATTTATATAAAACGATTTCCGAAGTATAAATCAAAATGATATATTACACTTATTGTAAAGTAAAATTGTGACATATTCCTAATAAAAAACAATAAGCTGCCATTTAAATCCATTTCGCCCAAATTTCCTTATCTTGGAGCATTGTTCAAATGCGAAAAAGACAACAGGTCAAATAAAACCAATAAGTTTGGCAACATTGAATTTCCCCTTTTTATTATATCCACTCCATATCCACTCATTTATGTTCGGTGATATAAAAGGCGGACACCTAATATATCTCTCTCTTTTTAAACAGTTGTTTCTCACTCCATCTCATGTAAGGTCCATACCGACCATAAACTTTTACCTATACTGTATACCTACATTACCTTGAACAAGAAGCAACAATTACCAACTAACACAAACTCAGGTAGTGCGTCGGAGGTACACATATCTTATTTACATAATTAAAATCACAACAAGAACCTATATCTTGTGTAACAATAAAACACTGAAAACTTTGTTTTCAAACTTTAGTTTTCAAACTGTGGTTTTCAAACTGTGGTTTTCAAACCACAAAATTTATTTTAACCTTTTATCACTATAGCTGTTTCGGCTGATTGCCTTTCTCAAGTGATCTATTTTTGACATACGTTTACACTTTATAGCCACTAATGAAATAGGTTGAGGAGGAGGGGAGAACTGTTTGTCTCAAGTTGGTCATTATATGTGTGTTTTTTAATTTGTTGATTTCCATAGATTCTAACAAGGATAGCTTGTTAAAACCTACATCAATTTGATCACTCTCATAGAACGCTTTTTCAATTTTTTAACACTGGATCGAAAAAAGTCATAACATATAGATATGTAGTTCACTGACAATCTTTACGAATTCTTTAATCCTGAATCCTCTAAAGCAATGGTTGCGATGTGTCCAGTACAACTGAAGAAACAAGTAAGCGATCATTTTCTTGGTAGTGCTCAGTGGAAGAACAACTTTAATTCATTGTCAAACACCCACATAATAGATAGACTCTTAGGTAAAGAAATAATAATAAGACTTACTCACAATCAATTTAATTTAACAATCTGACGACCGGTTTCGCTTTCTATAATTTGCAAAGCATGTTCAGGTCGAGATACAAAGTTAAACTAATGCTGCAATAAAATAAACCCAATTAGGGTGGTGTCTCATAAAGATAAAATAAACAAATAAATAAATTAGTTCATACAAATTATAGTAATTATGCCAATATTACATGTCTGTGGTTTTCAAAATGAATAATTTGAATATATAAAAGGTAGTAACAGACAAGGTAAGGCCCACAATTGGTATAAAGTAGCAATCTTTTGTTGTAATAAATTAATAAATGAGCAAATAAATAAAACAAAACAAAACAAACATTACTTACATGCCGGTACTCTATTAATTGATGGATGGTAGGTCATGGTTGCAAAAATCATGTATTGTTGATT